TTAGGCACCATTTTCTTTATGAGCACTCAACTCTTGAGTTCACCTACATCACCTCTTAACATCAGTCACTTGGGATGGTGGGGAATTGGTAAGGAAAGAGCCAGGACTATAAACAATAAGATAATTTGGATCTTGTCTGATCTTCTGAGCTGGAACTTAAATGGTGAGACTTCTGGAAAATATATGAAACATTGGAATATATTGATTTGGACTCTTCATTGGTAGGTTTTACCACTTTCTATCTTCAGGAAATGCTGAGATCATCTCAGAATGTCAAAGCGTCAGTAGAAAACCTTGGTTGACTAAAAACACCTCAAAAATTTTCAACCTTACACAGGTTCATGCCATCTGTCACTTGGTTAGCACTGACCATTTTAGCCCTGGATGCACTGGGGATATTTGGCTCTCTCAGAGAAGACAGGGAGGAGAGACAATTCTAGAAACAGACTTTGCCTGTCACTTTTGTGAAGTACTTCTTGTTTCACCTGTCTCTCTCAAAAATCTTCCTTTTCTGACATTAAAGATCAAGAAATAAAAATGCAAAGTTTTTGGAGAAGGAACTTCTAAATAAAAATTCTACATCCGTGATTGGACTGGGTGATCTCAAAGGTCTATTTCAACCTTGATCTATGATGCTATGATCAGAAGATAACACGAGCCTCTTGAAGATGAAGGGTTTCTGTCAATCAACCAAATCAAATATATCTGCAACATCTGCTATCAKGCAGCAGAATCACAGACTAAACACAAACAACTCTGATTTCTCACTGCTSAAGCCCTAAAAGCACATTTTTGAAAACCAATCTATCTTGTCCTGGAACTCATAATTGTGCATACCTGCTGTGAAAGCTGAATAAGCAGAGCTTTTAGGAAACAGAATCCAGGAGCACAGCTCTSCACTGATGGAAAACTGAAATGATGAAGCATTACCCCCGCAGAAATAAATACCACAGCCAGGAAACCTGAATGAAGGCTGAAACAAAACCTGACAGAGAGGTTATTTCAGAAATTACAGAAAGGACAGGAGTCAGTAATGACATGAGGAGTGTAGAGGGCTGAGGGGATTTTTTTCTCTGAACCTTGCTTGTTTTCTATAATACTATTTTCCTTTAATGTACAGCAGAGCTTTCATATYGACAATTACTGATATTTCTGGATGAACCTTGGTGTCTGGCACTCCTCCAGGATTCTGTGACCTTTCCTATTAGCATACYACATTAAAGATAGGCACAGTCCTCACTATACTGTCCACTGAGCTGTAAGAAGCTCTCATTAGCGTAGAACGAAAAGTTGAGTTCCCTGTGTCAGGGACTTGATTAAAATAATAAGTAGAGACAATCTCTAAGCACAGTTAATCATAAAGCAAGCCCTTTTCTGCTTCAGCTTGTATATTTTATGGAAAGGGTGGATGCCTCACAATATAAGTAGGCTTATCTTCCTTTTAGGGTAAGTAAAAAACAGAAATACAGAAGTATCAGAAAGCATGACATTTTTATCTGACTTTTCAAGAAACAAAGGACATGAAAGCTGTGCTATGACACTTTACTCAGCCCCTACGGGCAGACCACACCCAGTTACCTCTTGTTCAGGTGAACAATTTCCTTGAAAAATCTATTAGAAGGGTTGAGAAGCTTGAATCCGCATGGATTCAAAGTGGCATTTTTTTTTTTGTTTTGTTCCCTTAATCCTTTCAGGAGAACAGGAAACATCAGGTTCCATAGAAAAGCAAGTTGCACCACCCTGAAAAGGATTAAATCAGCCCCTGCTTGATTAAGAGCAGAGAATACAGGATCTGGCACAGCAGAGCAACCCCTCTTTCTTCTTTTCCTGGTAAAACTAAAGGATTGTGTGTGCACACACACATTTAAGACCACAAGAAAACACGAGGAGTTGAATGAAAAAGACTTTCTAACATTAATGTTGTCCTGTGCTAGAAAGGAAATTGGCGTAACTTTTAGATCCTTAATACTGGTTTTTCTTTCTCCTCAGAATAAGGAAAACAAATTTCCATTGCTTCTTGAAAGGAATGCATCATCTGTCTGCATTCAATCTGTTAGAAATGTTTTCTTCAGCAACAGAATATTTGCATAACACTGTTCTCCTTGTCAGGTTCACAATAGCGGTGGGACTTATTAGAGTGGCTTTGTGTTGAATATTCAACACTAACTCACCAGTCAGAAAAGCAGCCTCACAGGAGTCAAAATGTGCATGAGCTCAGACAGATGATTTAAAATATATCCCTATCCAGATTTTGAAAACAAAATGCACTTTGTGCAGAAGAGTAAAGGCTGGTGTGCAGGCGAATTGTCAGCAAGCCTGCTCCCATGTATTATTTGTGTACACTGAATTTTTCTGGTTTGAAATAGAGGCTGCTGAGGGCTTGAGAAGGTTTATGCTTTTCTTGACAGTGTTATAAATCCTTCCTTCCTGACCAAGCCACTTTGAATGGCTCCAGGTCTCACCTGTGACTGCTGAAACCTTTTAGAGTTTTCTTCCCTCTATGGAGAAATAAGGTACTTCACATTAACATTAAAGGAAAATCTTTACAGAGACAACAATGAGAGAAAAGGGCTCTGGGTGCTTCTGCTGGTGCTGTGCTTTGTCAGACACCACTGGAAGGAACAGTTTAGCTGAATCCAAACATGGCAGGATAAAGAAAATGCAACAYAACACTATCTTTCTATAAAAAATGGTCATAACTGTGATTTAGAGGAGCATGGGTTTTATATATTGGGAGCAAAAGGAGCCTTTGACATGGTGAAGGTGGAAAAGGCCTATGAAGATTAAACTTACTCCAGTGAAATCAGATTAGATGTCTTTCCTCCATTATTGGCAAGGCCTACAGCAATCCTCAAGAAAGGAGGCCTAGTAAGAAAAATGAGCTGAGAAGCAGGAGACTTCCCCAAAAAGACTGGACAGAACTCAGAAGCCAAGAACTGAGAGAGAACCTGAGGAGAGTTATGGAAACAACAACATCCTGCTAAGAGCTGGGTGCTGGACAGGGGTAGGAGGAACAGGGACCAGGGAAAGGATGAGAGATTTACACTGTTCTCTGGGGAAGGAAATAATTCCAGCTATCTGGGGATCTGAATAAGAGTTTAATGACTTCAAAGACCTGTTCAAAGCATAAATTCTACCAACAAGGGGAGGCAATGGGACTAACTCCTCCTGCCACAGCTGGAGTCAACTCCCCTTGGCCCAAGGGCTGTCTCTTCACAGCTCTTTCTGAAAGCCCCTGACTGGAACAGGATCAAGCACACATCTGTGCCCAAATTACACATTTTATCAGCCACAAAATCTATCCAGATGGCAGACAGTCATCTACTACCAGTAATCCATCTCTCCTCCTACTTTTCTACCGCAGCAAATTGATGTCAAGTCATCCCAGCACTCTTTTAAAAGAGAACAAGGATATACAGATGTTGTTTGTTGTTGTTGTTTTTAATAACAGGCAACCCAGGGGAAAATATTAAAAATTAAAGCCCATAGTGCTGCTACAGAACAGAGTCATTTGGTTTAAAATCACATTATTTGCAAGTAGTTTCATTTCTGACAAATGGCAAATGCAGCAGCTACAGCTGCTTGCCAGGCCAGCTYACTGTTTTTTACCTGCTGAGAGAGCTGAAGTTTTGGCAAACTTTGTTCTTTCCTACTCACAACTCCTTCCAGCCTGGTACTGGAACACAGTTTGTAAACATCACTCTTTCTTTCCCTCCCTTGGCATAGAGATTTTTTTCTACTCTTGGAGAATAGCTTTTCTTGGTATTTCTCTGAGTAATTTCTRGCTCCTGTAACACTCTCACCTCTTCCCTTTAAAATAAAGTTTTAATAATCAAGAAAGTGTTCTGGGAACAGCAGTTTTTGCAAGACAAATTAATATTGGAGGTGGTAAAGCAGGTCCTTGCAGAAGTTCAAGATTCATATCAACAAGACACAAACAAGAAGCCATGCTGGACAGTTTTCACAGTTGGAATCATCGTGGTATCCACTTTCCTGATCTCGTGCTCTGGCACAGCAGCAGCTCTGAGCTTTTAGATGTTCAATCAACTGTTCCTGATTCTTGAAATTATATTGATCTCCAGGAACAAGGTCATAGGCTCAAGTAGATGAAAAAAAATGCACTTTCCCACATTTTTTCCCCTGTGAAGTCAGAATATAAAATGCTTTTCTTCTCCTTGCTAGTTTATGAGGTTCACTTAATAGTTCATGCACAAGGATCCACAATATCCACATTTTTAAGTGTTAAATGCCTGCACTAAACACTGTCCTCCAGGTTCTTCTGATATTGAAAGATTGAGAATATCACTGTCCATTCTTGCCTCTGCATGAATCCCTGAGCCACCAACAGGAAAAAGACTGCAGGGAGCAAAGGGCTCTGCAGAGCTGCTGCAGTGTGTGTGACACACCTTCACAGAAACACCAAAAGGGCAGAGGAGCAACATCTCTGAACAGCTCAAAGATCTGAATTTGAGGGTTTCACCCATAAACCCTTTGAGTTTTACTCCTTGGCTGGAATTCTCTCATAAGTAAATTGCAAATCATGCTAGATGGCCTTGCATCTACCAGCCTGACCTGAGACTGGATTCTCTAAAACAGCATTTTCTGCTCCTGAGTACAGCAGAATATAATAYAGAATGCAAGCAATAAACACACAGKCTTTCTCTAACAGCCACAAAACCAATAAAAAAATATGACTGTGTGGTCAGCCAACTCAATTCTCAGCAGCAATAAGCATGATTTAAATAAATACAGAAGAGGAATCCGAAAAAAAAATATGGCAGCAGATACCTTTTCCCCCCTAGAAGTTTTGTAAAACTAAAGATCATTGCATTTCTTACTGGAGTTTATTGAAAATAATAAATCCTACCTCTTTTGTGGTTDACATAATGAACCTGATGCTCCCACACTGAAAACTTTTTCTCTGTATAACAGCAATAAATAATTTAGATGTCTCACCAGAAAAAAAAAAAAAAAAAAGAAACCAGTTTGTTGACATTTACCTGCCTAGTAGAACATTTTCATTTCAGTCTGGAGGAAATAGGAGATGGGAAACCTCACAAGAAGTTGGGATTTTACTTCTGCTGGCTTTGTCTGTGGCAATATTTCAGGTTGCAGCTGCCACAACTGCTAAAGGAAAAGGTGCTTAGCAAWCCAATGCTCAGTGTAAGCAATCTCCAAACTCCAGAGGGAGATGGGAGCAGTGTTGGAAATATCAGAGCCTGAAACACAATCCCAGAAGGTCTCGTTATACCTGCCAGACAGCCCAGAAAGGAGAGGGGAGTGCCGTGGTTGACTCACAGAGACAGAGCTGTGGTGAATTCACACTTTCCAGATCACAAACCTGTGAGCAGTGCCAAATCCTCACCCAGATGTGTCCTGCACTTGGGAAACAGGAGCTCCCTGTCCCCACACCCTGCCCTAAAGGGTTTGRAATSAGGCRCTGCTGCTCTGCTCCCACAGCACCCGAGCAAAGGGGACACATCTGGGAACCCCCCCATCCCCCTGCTTTGGTTCTCACATGAGATTTCCCTTCAAACTTCCACTCCACTGTCTTTGTTTAAATCCTGGAAGATTTTTAGACATTTTTACTTATTAATTTTTTTTTTTTTTTTAATTTAATAGCATATATCAATTGTCAATGTTTTCTAGTCAGGAACCTTGAAGTTCAAGTCCAATAGTTTTTAATTAYGTGTAGCCTCTCTTGATGCATTTATGAATTTCTTAATATTAGAAGAGGATCCAATAAATACACATTTCTAGGGAATATTCAGATTTTCACCCTTCTCCAGAAATAGGAATTTTGGGGTCTGCTTGTTTCAGCTGGTATGGAGTTAAATTCTTCTCAGCAGCTGGTACAGTGCTGTGTTTTGGACACACAGTGAGAGTGGTGTTGCTAACCCATGTTTTGGGTTYTGTTAAGTCATGTTTATCCTAAGTCATGGATTTGGGGTTTCTTTGTGTGTTTGTGTCTCATGCTCTGCCAGTAACCAGAGAAGGAACACGAACGAACAGACCCAGGACAGTGACCTTAGGTGGCCAAAGGGATATTCCACACCACAGAAAGCCACAACCAGTAAATACATAAACAGGGGGAGGGACTGGGAAGGAAAGACAAATCTGAGTTTGGGAAGAGAGTCTGGCATCAGTCAGCAAGTGGTGAGCARTTGTATTGTGCATCACTWGGCTTTGGTTTCTTTTCATTTCCCTTTTTTATCATCATTATTTACCACTGTTGTGGAATTTTACTTCATTTTAATTTAAACTATTCTTWTCTCARCCTACAAGTTTTACTTTTGTTTCTCCTCTCTATTCCACTGGGGTAAGGGTGGATGGGGGGGTTGAGCACGCAGCTGCCTGATAATTAATTTCCAGCTGGGCTTAAACCATGACAATGGGCTAAAGTTTACTTCCAGAACTATATTTGAGAAGCATAGTTTTCATACACATTTCTGAGAAAGAAACAAGGTCTGAAGGGACTTAACCAGTCTGGGGAAGGAATAAAAAAATCCCATTASAGTTGCTTAGGTCAGAGAGGTGCAGAAGCGCTTCATCTCCACTCCCACACATCCCTTCCCCAGACCATAAATTGCCTTCATTTGTGCAATCACCGAGGAGYTTGTCTTGCAGGCTCCAGTAACAATCCCCCTGCACAGAAGCATGCAAAGCATCAGGAGAAGCTCACAAGGAGCTTCCATCAGTGCTTGCTTACTTCAGAAAAGGCATYTTCTGGAAAATCCAGGCAGCATGTGGAACACACACCAACGCAATGTGGAAGTGACTAATGCATATAGATTGGTTCAAATGAGCATCACCAACTCCAGCACCTGATTCTGGCAGTAACGAGCCACAGTCCACAGCAGAAATCAGCCTTGCATATCCCACATTTCCTACTTTCAACTCACAAGAGCCATTAAACTGTTCAGACATTTTTTAGGYATCCKTTTGTGCTCCAGGCTGTGACCTCCSTGTTCCTATGAGGAYAAAACCTCTGAGATTCTCAAGAAAATCCCAGGGACTCGATAATGTCAGGTGGAGCTTGGAATGTGCACACATTTAGTTTCCAGATTTTACCTGATTTACAATGTTTTACATCTCCTGCTAACTCCTGTAAGCCAGATTCTACATCAGCCCATGAGTTTTTATCTAAAAATTGCACTCAATACATGTTTACTACAGGAAACATTTTCTACTTCTCAGGCTCAAGCTTTCACTTAATCAGTTCTAAGGGTAATTCCTGGGAGAGAAAAGGTAGAAGAATATTTATTTCTTGATTAAATTTTCCATGGCCAGAACTCTTCAAGTCTTACTTTTGTGTCTCTTACAGCAGCTCAGCCTTCTGAAAAAAATAACCTAAATAATCAAAATAAACACTCTAAGGTCATGAAAATCCAGGGTTTTGCATCTTTCAAAATACGTCATATTACCCTGCGTGGAGACAGACAGATAACATTCCCATAAACAACTGATACAAAAAACCTCTATAAAATTTAATGGAGCATTTCAAATGCTTGGTTAGAAGGCATGGTTAGAAAACTAATTTTCAGACTAGCAGGCCACAAGTGGTAAACAAATTCCCAGTACAAAAATGTTTCAAATGGAAATTGCATAAAATGAATGATGCTTATTCATGGCCACAGCAGGCTGAGAAAAAAATTAATTTAAAAAGTTGTTGGTTTTATTTTTTTTTTCAACCAAGCCCAAGCACATCTGATTTCTAAATCAATAGCTGTCTCTAGCCAAACTGAAGTGCTTGTACAACTTCAGACAGGTAATTACTTACAGGGATTGGATGAGGAACAAGCACATCAAGGGATATTGCTACGTCAATCTCTCTTCTTTTGTGTTTTATTGTAGCCTTTTAGTTGTTTCAGAAATCAACACTAAGAACTGATTTTGTCCCCCAGCAGCTGCAATATAAAGAAAAGCCAATATACTAATGCACAGAGATGTGCATGGCTGCCTTTTCAAACCATTYAGAGTCACACTTTGGGGCAAATCTCACAGGAAAGACACAGTTTTCAAGAGATTTTGATGTTTTTTACTTTAGACTGTCCAGTGCAAAATAAACTAAGTTCCCCGGAAAGGGAATTATGATAATGCCACCACAAGGTGGGAAAATTACTTAATTTTAAGATGAAATTCATTTGTAAGACCCTTTGCATATGCATAGAAGGGGTACTACTATTGCATTTCTTTAAACTAGAGTCATGATGCAGTAACTAAAACACCATTTATCTCTCCATTGAGGAAGATCCATAATAAACATTCACCTTAACCCAMAGCTGCTGATCATTTTGACATTTTTTCCACTGTCTTTATTACAGAATTTGAAGTAATGAATTTTAAGTTGCCCTCTTAAGTTGTATGGCTTTTATTAAAAAGTTTATTTTTAGCTGAAAACTTGAAATTTGCAGGTTTTGAAGACAACTTCAAATCCAAAAGAYATGTTTTGCTTCTTCTTATCAAAAGTATAATATTTCTAAATATTTGTGTGCATGCCTCTCTGTGTATTGCTAAACACATCAACATTCTCTGTGGGGAATACTTGTTCTTTGCCAATCTAATTTTCAGTATTAAAGTTTTGACTTTTTTAAGATTGAGAGAGCTTCTGTCTCCAAAGCCCATTTTTGACAGAAACAATAAGAAAAAAAATCACATTTATTTTGCCGGTTAGAATAACTTTCCAAAAATCACCCCCTAGGATATTTACTGCAATAAGAGTGAGGTAGTACATGGAAATTATATAAGTCCTAAAAGGTCTAGGCTCAAATAAGATCTGCAAGTCTTTCTCCAATTTCCTTTGTATGACTAGAAGCTCCTCGCAAGACTTTCCTCCTGGAGAAGTAAACTCAAGTATACAACCCTCCTGAGATAATGGTACTTTTTATTAGAAGATGATGTATTTTAATGAACTGGATACATTTAGCTGTCTCTAGTATTTCCTCTGGTGTTCACTACTCTCCCAAGTGACGAGTCAAAATTTGCATTTTAACAGAAGCTGAGTACTCTACTGCAAAGGCATCRTACTCAAAAGCTCATGAGTAGATTTTTGTCTATTATTTAGTTTATTGAAATTTGTTAGTGCCTCTAAAGTCTCTTGTTAGAGACACACAAAGCTCCTGTTAACTGACCTAATTTACCATCTGTATTTTTGCCCTCCATTGTAGGATTGCTGTACTGGAGCACGAATGYSMWGMWMWGCWKWKCWKSRCAATCACTTCCCCTGTTCTGCACAGAACAGGTAAAAACCTCCTGATCACCTCCAAACTGGGCTTTGGGATGCAGGTTTGACTCTTCAAAGCCTTTTTTTTTTACAGAGTTCCAGCCATGCAGAGCTGATGGTAACTCTCCAGCTGATCCAAGAAAATAATCAAATGTGCCACTAACAACCGAGGCAGTGCCCCTTTTAGGGATTTTTTAAGACAGAGTAAAAAAACCTTCCCAAAAGAAAATTATCATCTGGCCAACAGTCATTTCAAATTTGACTGAGCAGCTGCTGAAATCTTTTGTCCTTCACTTGGGGGAGGTCAGCAAACCAGGCTCCCTCCTGCCCTTCCTTGCCCCACGGCTGTGAGGTGAAGGAGGGGGGAACAAAGCTCTCCTTCCATCTCACCCCAGCTGTGGTTTGTGTGCACAAGTCCAGCAACACCGACCCACCTTAATAATTAACCCAGGACACAATTAGTGTATGATCCAGTTAAAAATCCGACCAACTACAGAAAGAAAACCAAACAAAAAAAAAAAAACCAACCCGAAACACCAACACTCATCTAAAGTAAAGCTTCATTTACTGAATTACCCTATGACTATTCAAAAGCACTTTGGCTCTTGCAATAGTTCATTTTTTATTAATGATAKGAAAGGGGACCAATTCTGAAGCCTCCAAAACCCTTCATTTTTCTGCTGAAGTCTCCTTCATTCATTATTTACATCCAAGAATTCTCCCTTGAAGCAAGACACATACATTTCATTTCCCTTTTTCTTTCATTCAAGACCTATTTAACTACAGCTGCAAAACAAAATAAAAATACAACATTAAAAAGTACAATTTGAGTGAAATATTGAATAACTAACAGTGAAATAASTGACAATTTTTGGTTTAGGAAAAATGCTCTCTTCCTCTTCAGCTGCTTTTTTTGGAGAAGTTTCACTT